TTCAGTAGTAAGACATTCTCAATGTCACGTATTAGTATGCATGGTCACTTCAAAAGATCTTTTCTCTAACAGAGCTCTTGACTCACCAGCAGTTCGCGTTTGTAAACAGCTTTCCAAGTTTTAAAGGCCCTTTCAGCTATGCAAGAATTATAGTGATGGCCACTTTAAAAAAAAATTCAAAAGTTATGAACGGAATAAAAAGTAAATCAATTTCGTAATTATAATTCAGTGTTGTTCTTAGTTTACTGTATAAGGAATAATTTTCTTTTACATTTTAAGATTATTATATTGCATTGCTTTGTTGTTTTTTTCTTTATCATTAAGAATTTTATTACATCTTAAGCTTTAAGGAAAATTATAAGGAAGAAGTTACTAATGACCGATAGGGCGGAAAGGTATAGAAGGGTGTTGAAATATACCAAGAAGGTTTGGTTTGTATCATATGGTTGTTTTTGGTTTGTATGTTTATTGATGTTATAGTTTATGCGGAAAGGTTATAGAGCCAATAAAAATATATATCATAGTTAAAGTTGTTAATACGTATCAGCAACGACTAGCAAACCGTTTAAAAATATTGAACAAATATTTCTTATAAGAATATTTACTCTTGACTTTATGCGTCGCTTATTTATGTAATCGATTTAAAATATTGCCAAGCTTTTCATAACTTGAAAATGTTCGCTAAATTACTCACGAAAAAATAATGCGTAGTTGAAAAAGGAAGTACACTAGCAACTGTATTTTTTCTCCATTTGCGACGAGATATGTATTTAACCTACCAAATATAGCAATAGTAATTTCCAATCAATCGGTAACATGAAAACTTGTCCAAGAATCAAAGCCGAGTATGTAGGTCATACCAACGTGCTAATAATTATGTATCACTCACCCGGTCCGTTCTTAAACGATTTTGTTGCGCACTTTTTATTGGAAAATATTTTCTTTATAACTGGCAACACTCATTACATTTATTATTTAATTATTTGTAATACAGTAAGTAATTTGATAGTTATTTGTGAGTTAAAAAATAATGTTTTATTTTAACATATTCGCCGTATCGATCATGCGGCGCCCGACGGCGCCGTCTCTCACGGAATGAACGCCACCCCGTCGCCCGGTGCGCGCGTTTTCCTCATTTTCCTAGGGAGGGGGATGTTCGCAAACTTATTTCGTAGTACGACGAATACTTCATTTACTACGACAAGCGCTACGTTGTTTTCAGCCAATATTTATCTCACTTTACACTATGAGAAGAAGCTCGCGTGAAATAATAACTTTCGCGTATAAATATTGATAAATAACATTACCTTCTTGACTATAAGGTAAAGAGCAGGTATTGGATTTGCACACCGATAAGTTCACGGCGGCGTATAAATAATTCATACAGGCGTTGAGAACTTCCTCCTTTTGGATGTCGGATTAAAATATCTAACTATCTGGAGCCTGCCTATATCTATCTATCTATCTATCTATAACTACCAAAAGTTGTTACGAAAAATTTGTTTTCCGGATAAATTAGTTCAGCTTTGTAGTAGAAATATTTTAAGATCGCTAATTATTATACTTAGTTTGTTCTTTGTTACTCACAAGATCCTTAAAATATTCAAACAACTTTGATATCAAATATTTAATATATATGTAACAAATACAATGTATAGACAATAGGGATGCTTCGAGAATATCGTTAGGGTCGAGCCCCTGAGCATTGGGGTTGGTTAGGGAGCTGTTTCCGACCCCCACGACCCCTGTAAATGTCACGTAGTAAAATTAATAAAGAATTTCAAACCCCCCTAACGGAAGGAAACCCTCTGAAAAGTGTTTTTCTAAAAGAAAATATAATATCAACTGATAAACTAGGTATATATATATATTTAAATAAGATATAGGCAAAACCATGACATTATGAGCTATCGAAAAAGAAATTTTCCATTTAAATCGATTTCTGTTTTGAAGTTACGATGGTATACAATCATACATAATATAAACCTTAACCCTTTTTATACATCGGGGTTTAAACATATTTTTCAAACAGATTACGTTGTAGTACCTGAAGTGAGCACTTGTATTCAACGAGGTAATATTACAATGGACTTACCCTCCTATGTGATTGTCACTATACAAGTAAACTGCACTAAGTGTTTTTTGAAGTTCTTACTAGTAGAAAAAGGACTTTTAAAAATTATAAAAATTATTTTTTACTGTCAGATTTCTTAAAAAAAATTAATGTTCATTTATGTTGGCGCCTGCAATGACTTCACAGCAAATTTTTAATTAAGGCATATGGACGTCTATAGCCTTAATACTGTTTGGTAGGAATTCAAAGCTACATTTCAAATGATTTTCTCTACCTACATTCATGATTTTTTTGTACCTACATTTTCCTCTAAAGCGATTTTCCTATTGTCACAATAAAATATAAAATGTTTGTCTATTAAATTTTACTCTACGTTGTCTATGCGCAAATTTAAACTTACGTCAAATCAAATCAAACTGAAGTTTGTTAACGGTCATCTGTGAAAATAAACTTACTGAATTTTGATAATATTGTGCTATTGTGAAGTAAACATAATTCATTTCTATAAGCAGTGATTTAATTTACTTTTTTAAAGCTATGACCATGAGGATCGACAAAGCCGCTGAAGTGGCAGAACTTCGGAATAAAATACGAAATCACGAAGCTTATGGAAAGCCGTAAATAAAACTAATTTGTTTCCTTAAAATCAAACTTAAAATATGTGCTAAATGAAATATGTGAAATATAATTTGTTTTTAGATATAAATGGTCAGCCAGAGACTTCGAACTCGGTAGTGGGCTGGGAAGAGGAAAGTTTGGTCACGTACATGTAGCTAGAGAGAAGAAAACTGGATATTTAGTTGCTATCAAAACGTTGTTTAAGTCGCAATTAGTTAATTCACGATGTGAACGCCAAGTGCTCCGAGAAATTGAAATACAAACACATCTAAAGTAAGTTTCTAAAGTATTAAAGCTATTGTCACATAAATTATTTTGGAATGCCCTGGAATGTGTGTATTTAAAAATATAATGACAGTTAACACACCTCTTGACAGACACCGAAACATTCTCCGAATGCTGACTTGGTTCCATGATGAAAGAAGAATATACCTTGTTATGGAGTTTGCAGCTGGTGGGGAACTTTACAAGCACCTTACCAATTCGCCACATGGACGCTTTCCTGAACCTAGAGCTGCTAAAAGCATATATCAGGTAAAAATAAGTTTAGTTATTACTTAGAGAATCATCAAAATATCAATATCATCCACATACTATATGTCCATACTGAGGGTCTCGGTGCCAACCCTAAGTTAGGGGTGACTACGCTATAGTCAACCATGCTGGCCCAGTGTGGGTTGGATGACTCATATATCTGAATTTCTTCACAGATATGTGCAGGTTGTATAACAATGTTTTCCTTCACCATAAGAACATTAGATAAATGTACATACGAAATCGAAAAACAGTGGTACATGGCCAGATTTGAACCTGTAGATTACAAATCAAATGCAAGCCTACCACCGATGACATTAATTCCATACATTTTTGATTTTTTGATTGAGCGATATGGCTAATAAAATGACACTACCATGTGTTGATTTTTACTTTGTATTCTACAATAATAAAATATGTAATACTTTAGACTTTTAGTAGTTATATTGTGATATATATTTCAGGTAGCAGATGCAGTGGAGTACTGTCACCAAAGACATGTCATACACAGAGATATAAAACCTGAAAACATTCTTGTCTCCTACAACGGTGATCTCAAACTGGGTGACTTTGGTTGGTCTGTGCATGCTCCATCAGAGAGGTATGTATTTGAATAAACTTTGTGATGAAACTAGAAAAATTTAACCATGAAACCAAATCATTATTGCATCAGTATTCTATGGATATCATAATATTGATATTATTGAATACTGATGGAACAATTTTTTTATCTGGATGTGAATTTGTGTATACAAGCTTTAAATGTTATAATTTAAAATCATACATTTTGTTACAGACGTAAAACAATGTGCGGAACCTTAGATTATCTGCCTCCGGAAATGATAACCAGACAAGTTTACAATTTATCAGTCGATTTGTGGTGCATCGGAGTTTTACTGTATGAGTTTTTGGTTGGAAAGCCACCATTTGAAAGTAAAGATCAGGACAATACATATGCCAGGATTATTGCTATAGACTTAAGATTTCCCTCTTATGTCCCAGAAGATGCTAGAGATCTAATTTCTAAGGTATAATTATTTACTATTAATAATACTTTAGTTGCCCTCTTATGTATTTTATCCCCACTATGAAGACTTGGCCTTACCTTATGTCAGTGGTGACTAGGTCAAAGTCAATCACACTAGCTCAGTGCAGGTTAGCAGAATTTACACAAATTTTTAATTTTCTTCCCAATTTTTGTACATCACGATGTCTGATTGACTTACTAGGTTTTATCATAATATTACAAACCTAGATTTGTATTTAGGAATTTAAGTAATAAATATTACTAAAAATTAATTGAGATAGAACGAAAATAAACTTTATTCCTAACAATCATATTGTTTCAAACATTTGTTATTTCTTGTGCATAAATATTTCAACAACAAATTATTACATTTTTTTTCAGCTTTTAAAATATCAAGCCACAGATAGAATATCACTTGGTGAAGTGAAGACTCACCCTTGGGTTAAACAGTATTACAGTGGCCCGAGCACACAGAAACATTAGTATATGCCTCTAGATTTTTATGATTTCTTAACTTTTTTAAAATATTATGACATCCTTGATGTGAAAAATAAAATATTTTTCATGAATTTATTGTAAATATAATGGTAGTTTACATTTTAAAGACATACTACAATATACAACTACTCTAAAAAACTTTAGTTAAGAATTGTTTTATTAAAATGTGAAATGACATCTTTTTTAAGGATTGATTATGAATTATATTTGAATTTTGACCCATGAGCGATTTTAATGACTAAAAAACTGTTAAATGTTCACATTTTATAATAAATAATTAAACTTTTCTGGTCTTTTAATTGTTTGGTCTTGCACAGGTTCGCATCACTTCAATACTATAAACTGTAACCATAACTTGCAATCCATTTTAATCCATCTTTACTACCCTTGGCCGGTTTGTATTCCAACCCAATCCAATCATTGTATCCATTGGCCTCTAAATGTTGCAATATGTATGGATAGTTTATTTCTCCAGGAACATCTGGTTCATTCCGGTTTGGTACCTGAGCTATCTGTAGGTAAAAAAAATCATCATATATGTTGTCAAACTGCCATAAATTTGCTATAGATAAACAGAATATTTATAGAGATAATTGGAAGTTTGCATATGGCAATTTTGATTAAAGTCATTATACCTCCAGAACAGCTGCATGGATCTTGCTGGAATTTGGAATAGATGTGGAACATAGAGTGGAAGACCACACAGACTTCTAATTAATGTTTTTTTAATGGACAGAGTCGCAGGCAACTGCTAGTTTTGTTTGATAAGTAATTAAAAATATTTACCTGAACATGACCCACATAAGGCATTAGATTTTTAATATTGTGAGACAAATCTCCACAAATATGCTGAAGGTGAAATATATCTAGTTGAAGTTTCAAATGTTCGCTACCAATGCGTTTTATTATATCCACAGCTGAAAAAAGAGGGTATATTAGTCCCCAATTTAAGAAACTTAGAAAAATTAAGAATCAATACAAGAATTAAAAATAGGTAGCATTCATGCAAAATACAAATCAAAGTAATTAACAAAAAAATTGGTTGTACCTTTTCCATAATCACTCAAGAAATATTTTGGGACAGAATGCTGATTAATGGGTTCAATGACACCTAACAAGTTGACATTTTTAAGAACATCAGCTGCATATTTTAAATTGTTCTCATATGTTTCCCAATTACTGGAGGTCACATTTTCCATTTTTCCCGCCATTATGTGTATTTTTTTTGCGCCAACCGCTTTTGCATAGTCTATGGTGACTTGTAAATTCTCTTTAAATTCATTCTCTTTTCCAGGAATTGCTGTGACACCCAATTCTCCTTTGCTTACATCACCTGTAAAGTTTTTGTGATATATTTTATATTATTAGAATTATATGTACTAATAGGCTTCTCGGTTATTAAATTCTTTATTAATTATTTTTATATGAGTATATTTTGTAATTAATTTTTTGATTTTATTTTATTCAAAAAGTTATTAAATATATCATAATATATGAACTAAGAAATATCTTCTGCATAGCAATTTGTTTATTGAAATTTTAAATTAGTACGGATTTACCGGTCTTGAGATTTATTAGTACCTGCTCGATCCCGGCAGATTCCTTTGCTTTTTTCACTTGTTCCAACGTATGACCAAAGGGAAAGCCGGTTTCGACGGCTTTGAAACCTGCTTCTTTTGCTAGAGCATATCTTTCTAGTATACTTGCCCCTTCATTGAACATAAACGAAAGATTCGCACAAAACTTCATAATTATTAACTCGAAAAGTTAACAAATAAACAGAACTTTTAGGTTATATTGCTCTGTCACAAATGACATTAGCAAAAGTTAAAAAATAGCGTTATCAAAAACTTGTTTATTATCAGTAGCAGTTCACCGCAAAAACCACAATCAATGCGAACTCAGTGATAAGATAAGCAATGTCAACCATCTTTATAATACACGCCGGAATAAAAAACAATTGGCAAGTTAAATTTAAATTTCGTCCATTTATTACTGCGTTATGTTAAATATTTTAAGAATAAGAATACGTCCTCAATTAAGACGAATGTTAAAATTTTACGAATATGAATCATAAAATTTGCAGAATATCAGTAATCGCAACCGCTGGATTTTCTTTAGCCCCAAATTGGGAACAGCACCCCGATTTAAAGTTATCGCTGACCGCCAATACCTTCAACCTGTTATGTGTATTCACCTACACACTAGGTGGCGCTTAAATAGTCTTTTTGTTGTCCACACTTCACTTATTATGGTATATAGGAGGAGGTAGTAACAATAAATAAAACGAGAGTACTGACAAGCGGTATGATTTTTATCTATGAATAATAAATTCGTTTTTTATCATTATAAACATAATACCGTTATACGCCTACTTACATTTTATTTTAATGAATACATAAACACAGTTAAAAGTTCAATTAATATTACGTAAAGTCCAACAAAGACGGAATGGTCAACATAATTATTTAATAGGTAAAAATTAACAAAACCCAGAAGTTATTTAAATAATAAAAAACAAAAGGAATAATAATTAGGAAATGGCCGCCGCTTTAGGATTACCTCAAAAATATAGGTTTTAAACGGAATACAGATTAAAAATTAACTCAAAAATCTTACCTAATATTGTGTTTTACATACTTCAAACCAACACTGTATAGATTTCTAGATTTTATTCGCAAGTATGGCATTAAATACTTGCTGTACAATATAACCAGATCCATTTTAAAATAAGTGACATTTATTTATAAATGAATCGAATCTTGTTTTGAAGATTTTCCGACCTGGTTACAAGATAAAAATACAATTGATTTTACATGAAGATATTGTGCTAGCTTTAACACGTTAGCTGCCATGTCGGACTGTATGTCCGAAAAGCTAATGTTTCAATCAGGCCGTGTCGGACTATGTGTCCGACAAGCCATACTTCCATTCAACACCTCGTTGTGGCTTGTCGGACGGTTTTTAATCTAATTTTTGTATACAATGTGACCCGCAAGGCCCCATAAAGCTTAAAAGCGGGTCAATTTTTTTCGTTTTTCGAAAAATCATTCTGAAAGCTAACGTGTTATATAATTATATTACTATCATAATAATAAAGGGCACAAAAACAAACATTAAAAACAAAAAAAACAAAACACTTAGTAACTGTACCGCAGGGCATATGATTTTCCATTTTAATTTTCAATCACTTAACCAAGTTCGGTTTAGTTACTTTTTTGCGTAAACAAAACGAAAAACCATTTATCTTACTTTAAAATTAATAATTATAAATCAAATTAAGATTGGTGGATAAATCTTACAACTAAAATAAATGCATGTGCTTTTAGTATACAGTCTTCGTATAAAGAGGTATTCATGGTCGATATAATATTAATATAAATATGCTTTTTGATATTAACACAGCCATGTTTTACAACGTTGTATAGTTATCAACTTACTCTAGAGTAGGACTATGTAAACAATCATTTATAATATACTAACTATGAATTATGTCAACAGTACTTACGGTATTTAGCAGAAAGAAATTTAATTTTGAGCAGACTGTGCCAATACCCTGTGAAGCGTTATTACTTTGAGCTTTAATGGCAACCATTTTGATTTTCGCGCGCCCCTCTGTCAATGGCATAGACAATTTTTTTTTAAATTTCTTTATACGTAGTTAACCTTTTAAGTTTTTTAGACAAGTTTGAATATTTCCCGCTAGTTTTGTTGCCAAATTCGGAGTGAAAAAATGTTATAAATATAAGTACGAGAAAATCTAATCTGTATTTAATTAACTAAATTTTTTGTATTTGTTCAAACGACATAAATTAAAAGGTTTGCCACGTAATTTTTTGACAGTATTATCCAGAGTTAAAGTCAAACAAGGATTTGTCGGTGAGAGGCGCTGCTGTCGCGATTAGTTATTTCAGAAAAGAAAAAAAAATAATCCTTAAGGATCCGTTTACAAAACGTACGAACTATAATTACTGTTCATAGTAATTGTTAATCTGTTACTATTAATATAATCGAGACACAATTATAAAGAAATCCTTCATACACATTCACCATAAAGCAATATATTTGTCTTACAAAACTATTCAGTGGGCCCGTTTTTATCGGAAGCGACCGTGGTACAGTCATCTGCAAACCAAGCGTAGTACAATAGCAAATATTACCAAGTAATAATAATATTACCGATAAATTAAATAAAACACTTGATACGTAGACGACTGTAATAAATAAGGTTGTGTTCAAGGGTGAACTGACCCGACCGGACTGCCATTGTAACTTCCGAGATATTGACGTAAATATTGAAAATCAACCCGTGAGTATCAAGGTTGACAACTACAACTCAACTCAAACATGAACATCGTGAAAACTGTCTTTCCCAAACTAAATTATTGAATTTATTTACCTATTTTCCGTAATCCTTAAATTACTATTCTATTCAGACATATGGTACTTTTTAATTTTAAAACAAATGTCGCAATACTATGTGTTTGAAATAAAAGAGTTCGAAAGACCCAACGGTCGCCCTTGAACACAACACACTTAGGTCTAAATGTATATTTCCACTTAGCGATTAACCGCGCGCCTCAAGTTGTACGTGGTTACGATTTTGTATAGTAGTTGTGGCCACTCCAGTGGAAATAGAAGACTCGATTCGTCAGTCTCCAGCTAACCGCTAAGTGGAAATTAGATTGACGTCTACCACTCGACCAGACGCAGTGAGACTGGAGATTTAGGCGACAACAGGAAGTCGAACTGGATGTCCAGTTCGCCGTCGAATTCAACCCGCCATTGTTGCATTATCTATAAAAAAAAGAAAAAAACTTTGTAAAAGATCTCGTTCACTTTTCTTGCATATAGATGGCGCTGTTTTCAATCAAATAAAATTTTCAACCTAGAAATTAGGACTAACTTGTAAAAGTAATTATTTCTACTGAATTGCCATAAATTAAAGAGTATTTTAGAACAATATTATTATATATTCTGTTCCCGTTTTGATTTCTAATACTAAGAAAGCTTGATGTGTAACTATAGCCCTGTTATCTTATGAATAATATTCTGCCATTATCTGTTTGAACATTGCGCAACAACAATTTGTTTAAGGAGTGATAACTTAAATTTGTTGTGAAATCAAACGTCCTCTCTCGGCGACATACTTTGTGTATGATGAATCACTTCCGCCATGTCACAAGTCACAGCCAATCTTACAATAGATAATAGTACTGTCTCTATATTGTCTCTGTCTCTAATCATTCGCTATACAAAGTTTCTCTTACGGATACTTCTATTCAAAACTACAGCAATAAACTAACTCTTTAGTTATTTTATCTTTTTTGCTATTTTTGTCTCTCGTGACAACCATTTTCTCTTTCAAATTATCATTTTTTTGAATTTGATCAGAAAATATCAAAAAATATTTATATAAAAGTTTATTAACTAAATGTTAGGATCAAGTTTAAGTTCAATGCTTACAATTAGCGTAATCAGTAAAAAGGAAATGATTATATCGAAATAAAGATACTCCAATCCATCAATCTATAATTTAACACACGTACCTTGGCCAGTAGCAAATGTAATTCCAGTTCAACGAATCGTTTCCCGGGACACATGCGTCGGCCGCGACCGAAAGGTGCAACAAGTCCCGGCGAGTGAGGCTCGAAGCCGCCCGCCCATCGTTCAGGCAGGAACTCGCGCGCGCGACGGAAGTTCTCCTCGCGCCGGCACGCAGCCCCCGTGTGCGCCAACACGAACGTCTGATCATTTTAATAGAACTCTTTGTAAATACTCAGTTTAACATGTTCATTTTGTGTAGTACACCATACATACAACTTTATAAAAACGATCACTATAAAATAATTTTTAAATTAGTTTTATTAAACACATGACATTTCTAAACGTTTTTTAACTTTTCTTCAAAAAAGAAATCTTGCCATAATAAGGGTTAATCTCTCTCTTTGTTTTTACTTTTAGACATTATTAATTAGAATTCTCTGGCGCGAACGTGGCCAAGTCTAGTGTAAGATTGATTATTGAGGGAAATAAACGTTGATAATAAGGCTAGTGTTGCGCCGATACACCGGCACTGTGTCGGATTTTCTTTCTAACTCAGAATAAAAGATTTTTTTTTGACTTGTTGGTATTGTTTTTTATTAGATAACGTTGTTAGATTAAGTCGTGGAGTTGTGATTACTTAATGGACAAAGTTATTTACTATTTAAAATATGTGGCGCAGTAGCTTTTAGTTAAATATATGACGCAAATAATAATGTAACTATCATATTATGTGTGAACATAAACATATTTTAATCTACAATAATTAAAGTAAACGCTATTGTTATAAAAACGATATTTTTTTATCTTAATGCAACAAATAAGAATCATCTCCAGTCCATTGTTCTTCTATGTTTATTTATACAGACTATTTTAATAATTTATTGTTATTTTTCTTTTTATAATTTTAACGTTACAATAACTTCAAATCGTAATATTTTGTCAATTTGTGCATCGCGTAATTAAAAAAAAATTATAGCCTATGTGTGCCAGACTGTGTTTTATATGTATGCCAATTTTTATTGAGATCCGTTCTGCAAATACCTTTAAACAAACATACATCAATCCATCCATTTAAACATTCGCATTTATAATATTAGTATGATTATTGTCCTGAGTCGATACAAAATGTGCTATCTTACTGTGTACTTGAGAACTTAACGTCATTATATTTGTACGTGGATGGCGTAGTGGAGTAAAGGATAAAAATGACACTCACCCCAGCAGTTAACTTATGTCCATCAACTGTCATAGGCTTGTCGAGTAGACGAGCGAGGAATGGTGCAGTGGGCAACAGTCGGAAGGCCTCTTTAGTCGCGTCACGTATGGAAGTAGCAGCAGACAGGTCTTCCAGTTCCAGTCGTTTGCTGACCGGTAGCTCGGAGCGGATCTTTTCCTGCCAGTCCGGACGTCCACTTAGCAGGTACAGCAGGAAGACGAGGCTGTTTGCTAACTGCAGACAAAGACAATGCTTAGCCATAGACAATAAATGAATATAGAAAGTAATCATGGCGGCTTCATACATGATCACCATAATCTCCACAAAGAAAACTTCAAAAGATAGCGTAAATGGAACTTTGTAAACTTAACATTTATGAAGAAATAAGTATTATTTACAGATTGCAATGACTTGATCTTTGACAAATAGTAGAAGGGAATTTTGATACTTTACATCTGGAATTGTCTATGGTTTTACGTTGTAAATCTCACCGTCTCAATGCCGGCGGTAATAAAGTCAATAACAGCAGCTTTCTTGTCGCGCGCGTCAAGCTCTGGATTGGATAGGATATTGAGGAAGATCTCCCGCATGCCGTCGTCCTGCGCTGCGCCGTTCGTCCGCGACATCGCCTCCTCCATCAGCTCAGATATTATCCTGTCACAATAAACAATGCATATCCTATAGAGTTCGTCATGAAAACCGTCGACTAATGGCGGTTACATAAAAAAATTCGTACAATTTCACATTTACCTTTGATGATTCTATTTTAGAAAAAATGCTAAATATTAAAAATTCAAAAGAAATATGAAATGAATATGCCACTATTAGATTAAACTTTGTTTCTTTTTCTTTGATTTGGTCAGGGTGATAGTAACAAAGCAATAATAGCTGAAAAAAGTCGCCGGTTTCTCATTTATCATTATTTCTACTTCAATTTATGCAACATCAGCTAATTGATCAGAGACAAAATACGATAAATATCTAACACTTACATATGTATGGTCTCTTCGCTCTTCACAAAAGTCTTGTACAGATTGGTGGGGGCGAACTTCCACAAAGGTGCTCCGTAGTAGGAATCCCGCTGGGCCCTAAAGTGCGCTTTGACGGCCGCCGCGAGCGCCGCCGCGCGCCCCGACATCCAGCGCTCTAGGAACCCCAGCCTGGTGCCCAACATCAGACCACATACAGCTAGAAACACAAAACATACGAATCTTTAATTATGCATAATACACAATCGTATCACTTTTAATCTTCTTTAGTTGTGTTGATAATTATTAGTGCATCAAAAGCTACTTGACGTCGAAAACACCATCAAGAAAACTGCGTGGAAAACCATGATGATGACGTAAAAAAAATATTGGACCTCTCACCAAATCTTTAAACAGTCATCATCATCATCAACTCACTATACGTCCCCACTGAGGGGCTCGGAGCTTGCCCTAAGTTAAAGGTGACTAGGCCGTAGTCAACCACGCTTGCCCAGTGCGGGTTGGTTGACTTCACACATGTCTTTGAATTTCCTCGCAGATATGTGCAGGTTGCATCACGATGTTTTCCTTTATCGTAAGTATTTCGGATTGTACATATGTAAGTCGGAAATCGAAAACCCATTGGTACATGGCGGGATTTGAACCCAGGGCCTATAGATTACAAGTCAAGTGTTGAAACCCCTGAGCCACCGACACTCTTTAAACTCTAATATAAAAATTTATATCATGACGCGAATTAAAGGAATCATTTGTATTAGTTCCGCAGTATCGATTGATTTTTTATTCGCAAGGCCAAAGCAACATGTACTTAAAAATTTGGCAGCGTTGAAAACGAGCGGCGATTAGCGACTACCTACGTACTTGAACGATACTACGTCGCAAATTTTTACTACGCAGGAAAATATTTTTACAATGTAAATATTACTATAATTCACATACAAAAAACTTTATGTAACGTTGTTCTCTACACTTGTATTACATTTTCTGTCACAACCATAGACGTCATAAAAAAAAAAATATTTCGTCTATGGTTATAACTTTTGAATATTATCTGTGCTAATGTCTACACGTAAATGATAATCTTATAATAGAAACATTTTTTTTCTAGCGGGATGTTTTTTTTAACCTTTATTCGCCCATTGTAAAATAAAGCAAAAACGGCAAAATGTGTCGCAACATCATAAGCAAAAGTAAGAATTACTTAACGTACAATAAAAGTACAAAGAGATTGAATTAAAATAACAATACAACATACGTTTATTATAATTTAGCCAATACTATAGTAATCTTGCTTTAAGATGAAATCCATTGTGCTGAAACCAGAAACTTTAGTATAAACATCTTTCTTTGCACCCCAACATAATCCATACATGGTGAAACTGGTTTCCAGTATAAATAAAGGACGCAGAATTTCGGGACGGCGCCCTGTAGATATTTAGGCTTTTATATATAAATAAAAATGGTACAATCGAATGTTCCCGTCTTTCTCCAGCCAACAATATGTACACAAATATATTGTCGTCCTTGTCATTCGCTTCGAAATAACAGAGATAACTATGTTTTTGTACTGATATTTCGGCAGTAGAAACCCTCAAATATAAATCAGGTTCGGCCTTGAGATAAAATAAAGACGCAATCCTTTCAGAAGCCAAATGCCACTACAATTATTATTCTTTTTCTTCAATCTGGTTATACATAAGGAATCACGTCCGTAGCTCAGAAATCTTTCCATGTATATTATACATACATTGATATACATAATTATTTATCACTTGTACTCCTTATATCGAATTTCTTTAGTATAATGACATTATGAATGGGAAAAATTGAATTAAAGTACGCGTTCATTGGATCGCGCCAGTCACGCCGCACGCTCGGCAGGCAACGGATTTTAGTTTGCTTTATATGATTTAAAAAGCACTGCGTCCATCATCCGCGCCGCCTGCGTCAAAAGACAACATAAATCCGTTTAAACCGAGCGTGCGGTGCGTCCGGTGCGGACCAATGGACGCGTACCTTTAATGTATTGCATCGTAATTGATGCAATATCTTTTATTTATAGGTTTTAGTTAGTAATGTAGACAAAACTGCTGAAGCAGACAAATGTTTGTGTAAAATATCGTTGCACATGGCAAGTTCGTGTGAACGAAGCGAATCAATAGCATCTGCTGTTGAGTTATCTCCCGCAACTACGAAGCGTTACGGCCCGCCGATATCTTGCTAACTAGGTCCTACATATACCATGATGCAAATACTTTAATGGACATTCCTGATTTATCATTTACATTAATTCTTTCTAGTTAATTCTTGGTAAATTAATTGTTAACTTAAATAAGTTTTTCTTGTTCTTAAACAATAATTTAATAAAATATTAAGCGAGTAACAAAACTTTTAACACTAACGATATACATACAAGGGAAATAAAATTTTACGCTGGAAATCAATGTCATGAAAATTTCGTTCAAAAATACCAATGTAGGAAGTTCTTAATTAATAATAATTTTATCAAACGTTTTTTTTGTTCACCCAAATTACAATTGCTCCAGCAAACTCCGTCAGCTCACTCCGAGACATAATTGTAAAACGCCTAAGAATTTTATATTTCACATATCCTATAAAGTCTTCGTTAGTTGCTAGTGAAATAGTAAGAAGTAAGCCCCATATCGAATGTTAAAGACTTTCCGATATAAAATTATAAAAGTTGGTCACCCTATTCGTAGCTGTCATAACTCTTACGTCGATAACCGAGTGGTATCATAATGCACTTCTAATGTTGCATTCCTCGCAGCGAGTGGAGGCGAGGCGATGCGATGCGGGCTGTATCACTATCGCCGCTATTTCTACGATATCTGACCTACATTACACGACTTTATCTCAGATGCAGCGTCATATTTTCGTCATTGAACGGCTGTCTGTAGATTTATGTACCTTGTCTTCCAACAAACAACTTTATGACGTCTTATCTTGAACTTTCCGATAAATTAAGGGAAAATTTAATGCTTTAATAGATATTTATTATCATTGTTGTCATAACAACACGAATGATATTTTAATAATAAACAAAATTAATAATTGATTGTAATTATTAAAAAAATACCGGCTTATTACATGTAGTCCAGCACTGGTTTATTCAATATAAGAAAAAAAAATGTCCACCTGTGACACACCGGGATTGATTAAATTGAATGTCATATTTCAAAATGTGTCAAATTATTTAGTCATCTACTTTAAAAACGAAAAAAAATAAACACGCGAAAAAAATTGCTCTCCTGACAAGCAAAAACAAAGTCCGATTCTCTATTTTTTAGTTATATCTCGACATGTTACTGATACATAGAGAATTGGCATTCTTCTATATTCTATTTCTCGTTCTAATTCAACTAAATTCCTAAAACTATTTTATGTATTAAACCTTGACTACCACCTGTCGTAGATAAAATTTCAAGGGTGTCAAATATATTAAGACTGTAATTAGATAAAACTTATTTAAATGTTAAATTAAGTAATTTCGTAGCCTGCACAAAACAAGATAACCTTGATAATGGTCTCCATAAACCATGGTTTAGAACGAACTTTAAATTTCTAATTATTATATAATTCTCCAAAAAAAACATAATGATGATTTCTCTAACCTTATTCTACTCACTTAAGATTGTCGCACCAATTTTTTGTCTTCCAATACGATCGATCTTCTAACATCTCAGTGACTCCCTTTCTAATCATGCCACCTTTCACGCAATACGTATACATCTCTTCGAGGGCCTGCCCCTTTAAGGGGTACACATCCCTCGACATACATTTTTAAAGTTATCCATCTCACAAGCAATTGTTTCCATAGAAAAACATCTAAATAAAATGATACCTAAAGCATTATCATTATATTAATTGAAGCTATTAATTATTATTGGTTAAGTATCCACTTTCTTTAAGGACTGATATGAAGGGTAATTATTTGTAAACATTGATAAAACAAGTTGGCATTGAATAAATATAAAAAGAAAACGTTCAAGTGAACAAAATGCTCCGTTATCGCGTGCACTATCGCACCAGTAAATTAATTACTGCACTTTTGACCAGGCAAAGGTCTTCGAGGTGGGCAAAGGATCTCATTGAAAATGTTATACCAAAGTTAATTGTTCAACGCTTGTTTACATTTCATTGTTATCAATCGTATAATTCAACTAATATTATATTCATTCATGTATATGTCAATAAAATAAACGTTCAATTATTATACTTTAAAAACTGAACAACACTATCGAATTAAAACGGTCGAAGGTAAAGCTCGAATGCTTATCACTTTGAAAGAGTATTTTTTGACATCAACCAATAATACCAATCGAGGACAAGGAGAGACATGTTACATTCATCTTGTGTTCCTTCGTAACCGTGATTTATAAAAGGGCACCCTAAATCATTTAGTTTGATGTCAAGCGTCACTCTTATAATGCCAAACATGTGTCAATAAAAATGCATGTGGTCAAGTAGGCTATCAAAACGGTTTAAGGTAATTATAACTTTTATCAGTCGTCACCGAGGAGCCTACCCAAGTCCAGCGTGACCAGGCCATAGTCTGGCTTTACACACATCTTTGAATTTCTTCGCAAGTTTATGCAGGTTACATCACGATGTTTTCCTTCATCGTAAAAAATTCGGATAAATGTACATATGAAATTAAAATAAAAAACATTAGTACATAGCTGGGATTGAACCTGGAATATAGATTGCAGGGGTTAGAGCTTAACTCTTGAGTCACCCTACACTATACTTAAGTTTCTCTAATGGTATGATATCATAAATTATAGTAATTTCATATCGTATGATATTATTCTATATTAAATCCAATTAAATGTTCTATAATGAACAAAGTTTACGTTAAACATTATCTTAAAAATTTATTATATATTACATTTGTAAAGGTTGATAAAATACATGTGACTTTATTACGCAATTGTTACTCTTTGTGTTCCTAACCTAAATATAATTACATAAATAATCAAAACAACCAAAATCAAAGTCAATGTCTAACCTAACCTAACAATAGCGCTGATGTCTATGTAACATGTTACCTTAACATGCTACGTGCGCGGATGTCTATGTAACACGTTACCTTCTTTATTCGATTTACCCATAAAGAAACAAAACTATAGGTATAAAACTACAAACGAAAGTAAAGCATGGCCTTGAATTTTTTTAATTAATCAAGTCCTCAAATCGTCCGTATGCCCATATAAGAACGGAAGCTATACGTAGCTACACGTAGGTGTACGAGTCTTTTGTTTCAACTTTTTGGTGGGGACAGAACTTGAAATTTCTTCCCTCGACCTTGAATAACAAAGGCAGGTGCAGACCGAATTGCAAGAATATTTTGAATGCGGGGGAACTACCAAAAAGACCCCTTTGGACATGTCTGATTAAATCGGTTAAAAGGGTTGCGCTACTTTCAAGGGAAAAACGATCGTATCGTCAAAATTCGCGGACCCTATTTTTGGAATTTTCGTATCTCTGTTTTGAAACTTAGCTGTGTTTTAATTTAAATTATACCCCAAATTTTACTAAGGGACGGTATGTTTGGTACTTTTATTTGTTGTTAAAGTTATGTTAGATAAAAGAAATAGTCAAAAAAAAATATAAATGCGTCAGCTATTTTATTATGTTTATAATTTTTCTCCTTAAATTGGTGGACCAATACTTGAGGGTTTTACCCCATTCGAGATATAACTAAAAATAAGAACTTTATACGCAAATCCTTCCTACACGTGTGTGCTTTTATCGACAGTGTTTGAATAATTTAACTTTATAAACGTGAGAACGGGAAATAGTTATAAAAACATAAAAGATTTAAGCTGACATGGAAAAAATATAGCCTTGAAAACAAAAGAGTCATGGTGTTCGGTTGTACATGGCCGCCAAGATACATATAGATAAAAACTGTACACAAATGGTTTGTAATAGATAATCCATTTTATTACAACTCAACATTTCATGCTGGGAATTTAATTAAAAACAACAAAATGAAATTAGATTTATATCTTATATTTATATAATTTTCAATCATCCATTACATTTAACATAGATTTCATTGTAATCAAATCAAAACGAGATTTTGATAATTGTATAACGCTTTTTAATAAATTTTAAATTAATAATAATTATACCAGTAGTTAAATTATTATTAAGATTGACGTAATGATGACTCATAATTGCGTAGATGGATGGATGGATGTTCATTTGAAGGTATCTCTAGAACTGATGGATGGAAATGTTGCATAGCTGTATAACATGGTCTGGAAGAAACACATAGGCAACTAGTAAGTTTTGTTTTTAATTACGTGCGGACGGAGTCGCGGGGGACAGCTAGTTTAATAATATTTATGAAGTAGATAAAATTATTGTTAAGATTGACGTAATGATGACTCATAATTGCGTATTAAATATTAAAAAAATTAATATTCTTTTATAATATTATAAATATATTTTTATATTCTACACATTTCATAAAATCTTCGATTATAAGAAACCTACATTACCACTAAATAACATAGATTAAATAAGATTTGTTTTTATTCCGCATGAAAGAAATTGAAGTCGACAAAAATATGATGAGTCATGGTTGTTTTTTTTTAATTCTGGTGTTAAAATATATGTAAATCACAGAATAAATATAACATTTCGCGTCAAAACAAATCAGTTTTCCTAGACTATACGATGTAAATTTTAGATGAGTAACATTTTACTGGAATTCCTTAATTATACTTAGGTATAATCTATTTCGTCTAGACGGAAAGCAATTAGATTTGTGTAGGAAGAATTGTGATCATTTTAATATAATAAATTCATTGTTTGTGAATTCTTTCGTTCTTGTATTATTTTGGAGTGTTTTCGAAATAATGATTTTCTGAAACCTTACATACAGTTTCACCTTACTACATTAAAAAATATACTTTCCAGAAAAATTACACGAGTGTCAAAATTTTAATTTTACTAATATTATATGTGCGAATGTTTAGATGGATGGATGGATGTTTGTTTGAAGGTATCTACAAAACGGCTGAATGGATTTCGATAAAATTTGGCATACATATAGAACAAAGTCTGGAAGAATGCATAGGATTCTATTTTTTTTTAATTCCGCGCGGACGGACTCGCGAGTGACAGCTGGTTATTTAATAATAATCATCGTGACTTTATGGCAAAGGACGTATAGAAACTACAATTACTTAATACTTTTCTAAATTGTCAAGAATCAGATAATCTTCTGTTATATGAAGAGACACGATCGAAACAAGTAAATGGCACGGGTATCGCTTTCTGGTAGATATTAGAAGCTGCAAGCATAGAACTCAACATTCTTCTAGGTACGAATTTTATGAATAAGCATACTTACATTCGAGTCCCATTCTATTGGTGAGCTGCTCGAAGCCGTAGACCGCGCCATCAGGTCTGCGACAGGAGTTCAGAAGATGGATGAAGTCATCACAAATGCAGTTCAGTTGAGGTAGGAAGCCCTTCATCGTGTGTGGGCTTGTGATCTCTGACGTCAGATGGCGGCGTAAATGCACCCAATTGTCGCCTTGTCTGTAAGATGACGACACTATTAACCCGACTATAGAACCTAGATATGGATTAGTAAGCATATAAGATGATAGGACACATAACCTATAAATATCTTTGAAGTTTTGTCAATTGTAAAGTAATTGCGTTACGTTCAAATTTTATGACAATGTAGAAACTTCACCAAAAAGCGAAAAATATTTGTATTGACTATTTAACTGTTTAAGCCTCATAGGCGGATTTTTGAAGTAACTAGCGCAACTTTTACTGTACAAAAATATTAAGTAATGTTAGAAGAAAATCCGACAGTGTACCGGTGTACTGGCACAACCCTAGCCTTACCAAAATGTCGACGTCTATGTCCCCTCACTAATCATTCTGACACTTGACGATGTGAGAGCGCCAATCGCGCCAAAGGATTATAATTAATATTGTCTAAAAGTAAATATTTAAAATATTATCATTGCTTCACCTAGATTTAGTCAGGGCATGAGAAGGCCATTTTACACGTAGCTGTTGGAATCCGGATAACTGTATACTAAATAACCGAGACTTCATAGTATTCCATTAACTTGTGTCAATCTTTAAGCGGTTAAGTCCCGTTTAACTAACAGTTAATACTGGTGAAAGCCCAGTTCATATTTCCTATCGACCTCAGCCATCAGAACCCGCTCGGACTATTCCCGTTAGCCCTACGTTATCCCACACTTAGTACAAACTTAGTGTTATTAAATGGCTTCTTAAGCAGATCGTTAATTTCTGTTAATACAACAGATCAAAATCCCCTTGCAAATGTTCCATTTATGTTCTCTCTTTCTATTTCGCTCTGCGTCATATCTTTCTTCTCTCTCATGACACAGTCTCCGTAAACGTGACGCGTCCTTATAATTTCAGTACAAATAGAGTCTAAGAATTATCATTTCATAATCATTTTGACCCACAGGACCTCACGTGCGTGCTTATTGTAAACGATACGATTGCGAAAACTTCTATATAAAACGTCAAAGACTAAATACACAATAGAATCTTATCGCACAAACGTGGCCTTTGTTATGGTTATTATATTGTTCACTTTTGGGCATAGAGTAGCAGCAGGAAGTTAGGTATTCGGGACTTTAGAAAAAACGAGTCGAGGCACTGTCAAGGTTTAGATAGCTACGTGACCGGCAAATATAAAACCTCGTCAAAATATCAATGATGTTCCATTTGAATATTTATCATTTTCCTCTTGCGAATTAATTTGATTATTTCGCAATAACAGGGTATCGATAGTTTTGTAATATTTGATATCTCTAATCACCAGTTGAACCCGATTTGCGTAATTGCGTTGCATTTAGCATGCAGACAAAAGTTTAAAAAAAAAACTTCACAAGCAATTCAATATCTGTTTCAATGACCCGCGAGTTCTCATTGCAAATAAGCGTCAATAGCCTAATGGTTATGGGTACGAATTTCCGATCACGAGGTCGGGGGTTCGAATTCCACCATTCGACTACTGTCGTAAACTATATCCTAGCACAAGCTTAGTTGGAATGGTAAAAGAAATATTAGTAAATTTACAAAAAATCTGCTATTATTTTTTCTTAAAAAAAAACTTTTGTGTTAACTTAGTCCTTTCTTCTACTATAACAATCCTCTCAAATAACATACTTTACGGAATGAACATCAAAATGAATCTATTTGTATCGTGACATCAATAAAATAATATGCGTATAACTATTATTGTTCTATCAATAAAAACACTATTAGAAAATATATATTTAAAACTAATAGCACAGGTTAGTCCGCCACACCGTCGATATCAGCAAACTAGTTTCTAGTATATTTATCCGTCCTGATTTCCTTCGATCAGCATGAATTACATATCCACTGTATAAACCACATGGTAGCTAATAACACCTCTTCATATCCAACCGTATGTTTACATATTACAATTAAAAGGAAATTATAATTCGTTCCGCAGAGAAAATCAAACATTAATCTATGATTTATCCATAAAGGAGGTTATAAAATTTTAACTTATTAAAATGTTTAAAAACTTAAGGGTCTAATAATAAAAATACTGTTTTAATTTACATTTTATGTCAATCATTTCATCGCATGTTTATATTGGATATTAGATTACTAGCTGTCGCCCGCGACTCCGTCCTCGATGAAGTAAAAAAAAACTATTGGTCGCAGCGTAATCTTATTTAAGCCTAAAGCCTTGCTCTATAATTGAACTATTAAACAAAAAATGAATTTTTCAAATCGTACCAGTAGTTCCTGAGATTAGCGCGTTTAAACAAACAAACTCTTCCGCTTTATTATATTAGTATAGATTAAAGGCCGTGATTAAAATATGATAATGCAGATGCTTCCAAAATACGATTTTGACAAAATAATTGACAGAGTAAGTATACCAAAAGCAGTTTTGGCACATACTCTTTTATAACCATTGGCGTCATAATAACAATCTCAACAACATCGTCCATAACAAACAATGGCGATCAAAGGGTTAAAGCACATAGCGTTAACCCTTTGACCGCCACTGATTTTTAATATTTAACTAGATGTATTTTTTGGTACAGTAATGTTTATTTTTCTGTCATTAGAAATACAGTTAGAAATTTTATTAAGTACTTAGTAAGTACAACATGAATAGTTTCATATGAAAATCATAGTACAATGAACTTGTCAATTTCTAATTAAATATAACTAGGTTTCAATACAGCTTTCTCTTGTCACGGAACTTTGTTGCAAGCGTTGATAAAAAACCCACGAACTCACTTTGCTTTTTCATCGCACATGGTACTGGGAAGCAAAAAGCTCTCCGCATTACCATTTATAATGCACTAGCTGTCACCCGTGATTCCGCCCGCGAGGAATTATAATAAAACTTAATTATTATAGTATCCTATGTGTTTGCCCAGACTATGTTCTACATCTATGCCAAATTTTAGCGAGATCTATGCAGCTGTTCATGAGATACCGTCTTTTTTTTACATTTTTTACATACAATTTTACATCCATCAATCTAAACATTCGCATTTATAATATTAATTAGGTAGTACGATCCTGTGGTCGTTTGAAGAACGAATGTTCGTATCAACAATTTTAATGTACCAAAAATCTCTAGAAAAGTACAGATTTTAATATAATAAGTATTTAAGCTTTTCTTTAACGTCTGATTACAAATAAATATTACTCACAAAAAGAGACTAGAAAAAAATGAGAATTAATTTTCACGTGGATCTACGTTAGGCACGCCTTACAACCATTTTTAGGGTTCCGTACCTCATAGGAAAAAACGTAACCCTTATACTTCACTTTGTTGTCCGTCCGTCTGTCTGTCAATAATTTTCTCAAAAACGCGTGAAGGGATCACGCTGGAATTTATTTTGCTCATAATAGAAAAAAATATATTAATTATTTGCGTGAAAAACCTTGTCTTTCTCTTTTTTAATTGTTAAATTATATGCGCATTTATAAAAAAAAAACAAATATCTTATTACGCTTGAACGTGTTATCAAAAGTTTACTGATGTTTACAAGGGACAGTTTGTTTGCGACGCTGTGGAGATTATTTCATTATTTATTGCCTTAACATTGGCCTTAATACTGCTTAAAGCACTTTCATTTGACATTTGCTATTTGAGATACGTCAATCGGCATGTTGTCTAGTTTTGTCGATTGTTATTGTTCGAGGGAAATGTTTTGATTATTTCTCTCGTGTTCGGTTGCGATTTTATTTGCTTTAAGTAATATTTGGCTTCGCCGTTTTGGAAATTTGACGTGTTATTCGATTCCTGCTCTCATTCAAAATGTCACAAAGATCTTTGATGAGACTCTTATCACATAATTATTTGTTTTATTTGTATACTTATTATGTTATTAGCTATCGCTGGTGACTCCATCCGCACGGAATTAAAAATAAAACTTCATAAGTAGTCTACGTGTCCTACTAGACTATGTTCTACTTTTGTGTCAAATTTCATCAAAATCCGTTGAGACGTTCGGTAGATACCTTTAAATAAACACACCCATCCATCCATCCATCCATCTACTTGTATTATAAACTTTTGAATTTACAATATAAGTAAGGTAACGCTATTAAACATTGTTAAAAATAACATTGCTTTCAGTCCGAAGTACCACAGAGGATTACAACCTCATTTGATAACAAAAAGTTTCTATACCAATTCTGGAAAAACAACTGCGCGTAGGTGTGTCCTAATTTAGTAATGAAGTATTAGACTATTCTCGTATTTCTTGTATAAACGAGTGATATAGACACGGGCTTCTTACTTAGAAATACTGCTTAAGTAAAGTTGCTTAGCAACCAAACATGGCGGTGTAACACAGCCAAGGAAATCCAGCTAGGTGCGATTAACCGTTAGTTAACAACTAATGTATTTAACCTAGATATAGGTTAAGTTGGGCAGGTTTAGCAAGTCTAGATTGGATAGGCCTTGGATAACTGGCACAAAGACAGTGCTTACGGTAAAAACTTCTCGCTATAAAATTTGTATTATATAATTGTTTATAAATTATACTAATTATAGAACAACCTACAGATATTTCTTGACCCATTGTGGTAAACATAAATTGATACGAACTTGGCACTACTTAAAGCCTCTTCTACTTTGTTTGAACTTTGTACCATTATACTATACGTATTTCTTAGCAGTAAAATGTCCTTAGTTGTCCTAAATCACTAAGATATTCATACGTTATACCTATGTATTCATGCAATAAAAACATATGTATCTGATGTTAAGAAGTATAAATCTTTTCAAATATTCTGGCAGTTCAAGCGCGCTCCGCAAAGCTCACCCCCACATCCTAATACGTTTAAACCGAATATTAAATTGTGCGGAGTGATTCATATCATTTTTTGGAGCGGCGAAAAATATAAAAATCTCTATAGAATACTTACTCATTAACAAGTCCTGTAGTAGCATATCTGTCTGGCCTGCTCTTGCGGTAGACCTGCACGATCTCTGTAGGGGGTCTATAGGGCTTCTTGTTGGAGTTGCGCAGCACAGCCTCGAGCGCCGAGCGCTCCGCTATCGACACCACCTTTGCACCCCCTGGTGCTATCTCCGCGAAGATCGGCCCGTACCGCCTGAACATGTCTGCGTGCAAATATCTCATTGTGACGGCGAGATGCTGGTTAGCGATAGCGACATCTCGACATTATACATATTATATTGAATTAATACACAGTTGATATTTGATTATTCCTGTTAACCATTATGTAAGCCAAGACTATCTAATAAAGGTCGTTGTACACTGTCACATTTAACCAATTTCCATCGCCTTTGTGTAAGGGGCCTTATAATTCTTCGTATAAATTAATTTTACATGAGTTAGTTGACAGGCCACATCCTTTGCCAAGCTTAGCCTTTTGTCTACGTTAAAAAAATAACGATGACAGTCATTCTTATTAAATACAGGTAGCTTCGAAAAATATTATATTCTCAAACCTTCATAAGCTTCATGTAGTTTATTCATTCTGTATCGACTCCAGAAGAGCCACCTGGTGCCGAGCAGCGGCAGTGCGAGCGGGCCGGGCAGACGAGGATTCTTGCGGTCGGATTGCCGCACAAGCAGTGCTATTGTCACCACCAAGACTGCGACCAACACGACCATCAGGGTAGGCACCCCGGAATAGTCCACCAAGGGAGGAGGTGAACTCTGGTAACAAATATCACTTTATTAGTTATTGGGAAAGACATTCAATTATTTCAGTTCAATGCGAATGATTGGATAGATAGATGTTTACTTGTAGATATCTCGAGAACGGCTGTATGGATCTTACTGAAATTTGGCTTAGATGTAAGACATAGTCTAGAAGAAGACATAGACTCCTAATTAAGTATTTTTTAATTCCTCATGGACAGAGTCGCAGGCGACAGCTAGTCATAAAATAAATATCCAGACTAAGAACCCTGCTCCAGTGTTTTATTAATAGAAAAAATACAATGCAGTCTGCAATCACAATAGATGAAAAAGTATGACAATTATTACTTTAATCGACTTTACTTGTTGTTGATTTAAGCATGAAGGCTTTTACATTGTACCTTTCTTGCTTTGGTTGTTTATTGAATAATTTCAATAGAGGGACTTTTTTTAAACGGAAGTTTAACTCTTAACATATACGGAAATCGGTTAACAAAGTCGATATAATTGCTTATCTTCGAGACTATAGACCCTTCTACAGTAACTTATTAATTCAAAAGACCACATAGTACGCTCGTAGATAACCATTCTAAGCAAAGGTTAATCATCCCTGATGAAACATAATTGTCAGATCTGTGACTATTCTAATCAAACTGGAAGAATGGAAACAATTAAGTAGTTACGAGTTGAATAAACAAGCGCTTGGTAAATTTCAACAATGATACGTTTGCTTTGTATACTAGCTGTCTACAAAGCTAGCTAGCGTATGTGTTTTTTCAAGCTTTGTTTCTACATCTATGCTAAATTTCAGCGAGATCGTTGCAACCGTTCTGGAGATACCTTCAAACAAACATCCATCCATCCAAACATTCGCATTTATAATATTAGTAAGATTAATTGTATTGAAAAGTCGACAACACATATCACCATATTAAAAACAATGATAAAATAAAGTAACTACAATTTTATTTTTAGAAATTACGCAAAACAAAATCGTACATACTCAAACGAAAATAATCATCTCGAACGCATTTATGAATGAAACTCGTTGTTAAATATTTTTTCATCAGAACGTGTTTAAGTCGAATGTTTGGTATCGAGGTTATTAACCTCTGTTCGTTGACGCAGCGATCTTGACATTGACTTTGCGTAACTTCGTTACGTAACCGTCGGTTAGTGCTACGCCCCAATACCTGATGCACTTCACAATGAGTGGCAGATCTGGAGATTGATCAGTATTTTTTTACGATCAAATATCATTACGTTTCGACATATCTCACATGTATGATTTCACAATATCTCCCTCAAATCGCTCTCTAATAACTCAAGTGTTTGTTTTTCGTTATTGAATAAGTGTTGTAACAGGATTAGGTGTTTTCGTTCGTCTATTTTTAAAGAGGTTAAGTGGTAACCTATGACCATAGAGCGTTGTGAAGTCTTCTAGAACGTCTACAATATGAGAAGAAAAGTTTGGACTACGTTAAACATAAGTATTTTCTATTTAAAAAGAATAAGATCAGAACTTGTCTATCAAAACAAAAGGAATTCATAAACATAACTGTATAAGATCGATTTCTTAATCTGTATCCATCAATCAATATTATCGGCGCGCGGTTATTGCATCACAAGTGCAAATTGCTATAAAATGAATCGAAAATCAACGGGATCTGACAACGGGTGACGTCTCGGTATGCCGATGACTTGCGATCGCGTATCGCTCGTAAATCACCACAAGCCTCGAATTACGGTAACGGATAGATTGTGTAACTGTAAACAACAATGTCATAAAACTACGAACATTAAAAATTAACACATCCAATGCTACCGACGCGCCAGTCAATCAACAATAGCAATTCTTCATCGATGATTATACGAAAATATCGTAGTTGCACGGAACATGTTAAGTGCTGCTGTTTAATTTTTTTTGGAGTCGAATCAATCTGAAGATCGGAATGCGACTACCCTAGTTTTCCACAAACTAAAATAAGCTACTAAAAAGTAACTAAAGAAATAAGATAAAATCGAGAGGAGCGAAAGTCGGGCAAGATTCCAAGCAAAAGTCCTACAGCTAATCAAGTATTATCGGATAAATCGTAGGCGTAGCATAGTGAAGGTTAAGCTACCAATTCTACAAAACAAATATCTTACTAATATAAATGCGAATGTTTGGATGGGATGGATGTGGAAGAACACATTAGCTACTATTTTATATTTTCTTTCATTCCGCGCGGACGGAGTCGCGGGCGACAGCTACTCTGATATAACATAGCTTTAGTTCATCCTAAGAGTCCACTCAGTACAGATAAAGACTAAGATTGAATATTATTACTAATACTTAAGGTGTATGTTTCATTATTCCAACGTTAGTAACTTTTTGTCGCTATGATGTTTTTTGTCTATTCGTTAAATTTGACACGAGTTAAGTACGACGCAATTGAATTACATACATAGGCGTGTATCGTACAAGGCTCAGCAAATTGTTATTGAATGGAGGTGTCGTAATATTAATTGGATATCAAATAACTTCTATATCGATTCTACTAATAATTATACTATATTTGCATAAATGTAGGCTAAGGGATACTTATATACATCAATCATTTAATTATGTTGTACACGTTGTTGATATTTCGTAAACAAATTATTCTGATTCGTACTTGCACCGTTTTCAAACAAACAAAATTACTATTTAACAAGACTAAGTTGTTTTTAAATTACTATAAATATTTAAACTTTTAACAGCATACATAATAATAATATTGTCAAACTTTATGATTTAAATCGGCAATATGGCCGTCTTTTTTATCCGCCATCTTTTTTGCATTGATCAAAATGTAGCTCAAAAGCGCGCCAATTTAGCAGACGTTGTAATGCTAACAAAAAGTAACATAACTCAAGGGAACATCGACAGGGACAACTTTAGACGTCTAAAAAGTTCGTGTCTGGGTGTCTGTGTTAAAATAGAAAATTCAAATACATTGCTTTGATTCTTTTTTTTTCAAACCATCGGCCTTAGTAAGGAATTTGTATTCTACTTATATGGTTCTTGCAATTATATTAACGAAAGAATGTCTAGCATAGATCTAGATTTTAATCAAAAATTAACGTTGTACTTTTAAACGGAACTGTAACGTTCGCTTTTTGACGGGAGTTTATACAGGGCGATAAACTAAACAAAATGCGAAAAAAAATAACTGTCATATTATGATTCTGGCCACATCGAAAACATTGGCATAGTTAAACAAAAAAAAAACAATCATAATTATGTCGCTTGTTACGTAACATACTAAAATAACTTCCAAGGACAAGCGATGTACCGAAATAATTCACAGCATTATGAATCTTCAAGACGATTTTATTATTATTGCCAATTCATTAAACACATTTCTCTCGAAGCTAAAAGCTAATTAAATGATAAGCAAAAATAGCGCACTAAAATTGTTTTGCTAAAATAATCATTTCGTTATTAAACGGTCACCTAGTTACGTGCTGGCGTGATAAATCACGCTGTTTATTTATAAAAAAAATATTTGAATTGTGGAAAATAAATATCACGAATCGGTAAATTTCAAAGCATTTTTTGTGATTTAAATATACGGAGCGTTAAACTTGTACTTTTAAATAATAAATTATTAAATTTAAATATCGTTTTTCTAACATTTTTTTCCAGAAAGTTTTTCCTTAATAAGTTGAATTTTAACAGGAAATAAATTATGGAAACGCAGCAATGAATGTTTTTGTTACGTCAGTGGAAACCACGGTCAATCTGTCAGTGTTATTTTCCGGCAATATTTTTACAACTGTTCAATGTTCAGGGACAACAAGACTACTTTCCTTGTGGTTAACGTATCAAATAACACGCAACCTCACCATTGAAATTTACAATAATGTTAAACAAAATAATCAAAATACAATATCAACTTCAATCATATCAAAAATAAATAAACGTTGTAAAAATTACTATTACTGTGTGGTTAGGTTAGGTTAGGTTATTTTTTATGCAAAGAAAACTCGCGTACATAAAACCTTAATCAGAAATTCCACAAAATAGTTTGATCATTAGCCACGCATTAGTAAAATGTACCATACACCACAATTTACTTATAAATTTAATTAAAAAACAAATCGACCCCCCGTAAGATGAGAGATATTAGACTTAGTAATTACTAATTACAATAATCGAATAGCATATGTTTCAACTACTAAAAAAAAAGTTTATAATCGAAGCATTTACGATGTCAATTTAAAATCGAGACTCCTTCGGTCAGTCTTTGATTAGTCAACACTCGGCAACGCATTGCAATGATTACGCTACTTAAGCATACTTGTTATTTTATTAATAACATCACTAACCGTGGGTTTCTGACACCAAAGTTACTGTATAAAAAATATCGTCATCCCTGTCTTTCATTTTTGACAAAACAGAGATAACAATATGTTTTAAACGCAGGTTTTGTTCTCGGAAACTCACAGTAAAACGAGCAAAATATTAACAATCTGTGAACATACAAACTGGTTGAAGTTGCATTCGATAGGATTAGCTTTAGGATTGCATGGAGGTACTAGATCTTAATGTAAATTGCGTAGAACAGTACTCATAGAGATGAGTAGAAAAATGAACAGACATTGTATCTATTTCGAATTATTTTATAAATAATATATGCACTTATTAGTCATTTTAATCCCTTACTAGTTATCTTGAATCGTTGCAAAATATTATAATATTTGTCATCACTGAGGGGCTCGGAGCCTACCCTAAGTTAGGGGTGACTAGCCCAAAGTGAACCGCGCTGATCTAGTGTGATTTGGATTCACAAATATCTTTGAACTTCTTCTTAGACATGTGCAAGTTGAATCACGATGTTTTCCTTCACCGTAAGGACGTCGGATAAATGTACATATTTTAATAGGTAATTGAAAAACACATTGGTACATGGCGGAATTCAAACCCAGGATCTGCAGATTCCAAGTCAACTGCTTAACCTCTAAACCTCTGACACTGTACTTTCTTCTCA